TATGTCTTCAATATAGAGGGAAACATGTTTCTCTGCTTTGAATTATGAGCAATGCTTACATAACACTCACAATGAATTGAGATACACACTGCATGATCTCAAATTAGAAGTTGCTCCGTCCTGTTCACTGAGCCTGATAAATTCGTGTACTTGATATACATCAGAGATCAGAATGTGTTTTCTTTCTCTTGGTATGTGCCACTTACCCTGAGGTCCGGTGATGTTCCAACTTTGAATGACCCCTCCATAATTGACCTGGCATGTATAGACTGCTTTGTCCAACCATTCAGCATAAGGGACTCTCAGGCGACTGGTCGCTGAGAAGTTTCCATTCGCTTCACACACGGGAGAAGTGAAGATACCAGAATCCACGCGTCGTCCGTTCTTCAACCAATTCACGGAGATTGACTTTGAGTGGAAGTCACTGATTGAACAGACGATGATTGCAAATTTTCTGCCCTCGATTTCTTCACTGGAACTTACAGTTAGGAGAACAGTCGGAGGGTCAAGTGCACCTTCAGAAAACACATCGTGAAAATTATCTGATGGATTTGAGAACAAGTACAGTCAGTTCTTACCTATCAAGGTTCATTGCAGTTTATAGATACTAACCCAAACTTTCGAGGGATCCTAATTATGCAGAATGCTTCAAAAGCTGGCATTCAGGCAGAATGATCAGCAGGTTGATATCAAGTGCCAAAGCTGGAAGTAACAGCAAGTAGTAAATTTGGTACAGAAATTATACATCAGTCAAATGAAAAGCGAAATAACAATGTTGGATAGTCCGCATTTTAATGAAAGGAGTCTGACGAGTTGACAAGAGAAATGATGAAATTAAGTAATTGACATCACGGAGATACGTTGAGAGAGGGGCAGGGCTCATTTTTCCAGGATATATAGCCTTCAGACGAGACTCGGGAGTTATAAGATGGAGGGAGGAAGTGTCTGTCGCAATATTGAGCAGGCCGTTTTCAGCAGTAAGTAGGAATGAAATCGTAGATACCTCCTCAAATGAAGGCAAGTGAAAAGGCTTAAACACCGAAATAAAGTAAAAAGACTGTTAGGAGAGCACAACTGGCCCCTCTGCAGGTCCGAGAGATATAAGAGTGCAGATACATCAGCAAATTTTCAGGTAAGTGTACATAAAAAGGGTAATGATTGTAAGGATTTCAGCTACCTCAATGTAGGCTGGGCATTCATTGTCTCAAATGTCCAGAAGTAGCAGAATTGTGAAATAGAGCTTTTTAATACAGTACGGAGAAGGCCTTGCAAGAGAAGGCTGAAACTGCACTTAACTTGAGGTAACGAAGCTGACAAAGCGCTTAAAGTATCAAAGGAGAAGCATTTTGCAGAGAGTGATCACAAATCCATTGGATTCAAGATTGTTCTGGAAAGGAATAGTAATAGGCACGAACCAAAATTATGAAACATGGAAGGGGCAATTTTAATACGCTCGGGTACGATTTGACCAGAGTGAACTGGGAGCGGACATTTATTGGTATTTCTGAGTCAGAGCAGTAGGACGCATTCAAGGAGGAAATAGAAAGAATAAAAGGCCAACATGTTCCAACAAAGAAAGGGTATGTGATGAAAAATGCTGCGAGCGCTGGACATCAAAATTCATATAGGGTTATACAAAGAGAAAAAAAAAGAAAGAAGGCTCATGGCATATGTCGAATGTTCAAAACAACAGAAACTCTCAAGAAGTACAGAACGTGCAAGGGAAAGTTTTAAAAGATAAATTAAGAGAGAAAAACGAAGCAGAAAATAATAATGGCTGACGCAATATGGGAAATTTTTGTTTAAAAGAGCCATGTTACAAGTTGATTAATGAAATAAGGATAACAAGGGAAACAATAGGGCCCATTAAGTGCTACAGTGGTATTACTTGCATGAAGTAACAGCACGTAGGTTATATTCTAAATGAATTAATTGTGTCAGAGTTCACTTTTAAAGTGGACGATGCAGGTATAGATATCATGGAGAAGCGTTGTGATTTGCTTTAAGAACTCTGCATTAGATGAGTTATGCTCTGTGTTGTATTACGGGGTGGATGAAATGTATCCAGGGCTGTTGAATGAGGAAAAGGAGGAAATGGTTGAGGTGATGGCAATAATTTTGAATTCCTCTATGGCCACAGGGGATATCCTAAATGACTGTAGTTCAATGAAGATGGTGTCGTGAAGCAAGAGGGAGCAAAGGATTAACCATTGAAACAGAGGACAGTCAAACTAGACACAGTGGCATGAAAATATTGGAAGCAATTTCGAGGAACACAATTAATCTTCATTTGGAAGAGTTTAATCAAACATTCCCGGCATGTTTTATTGAGAGGAAGGCATGTCTAACGAACTTGAAGGGATTTTGTGAAGCGGTTACCAGGCGTGTAGATGATAGCAATCCTAAGAGCCAAAGGGATCTGAGGAAATTTGACTAATTGTATCCAGAACTGGCTGAGTGGCAGGAATTGGAGGGTGATGGTCATGGTGTGTTTGTGTGACTGCAGGCCTGTGTCTAATGCTGTTCTGTGGGGATCAGTGTTGATATCCTTGCTGTTTGTGGTGTATACAAACAATTTAGACTTGAATTTTCGACGGTTGACCAGAAGGTTCGCAGGTGGAATGAAAACTGTTGAGCTCCTAATTAGTGATCTTAATAACTGTTCAGCACAGGAGGATAAAGAAGGGGTGGCTAGATGGGCTGATCAGCGGCAAATGGAAATCACTCTGGGTCAGTGTGAGGAGATGTATGTATGCAGGAAAAAAATGCAAGGTTTAATGGTATTATTCGTGGAACCCTGAGATGTGCGAGGATCTTTAGTGTGCATGCCCACCTATCCCTTACAAGGCAAGGACTTGCCATAAAGTCGTAGAGTCGTGGAGATATAGAGCATTGGAACAGACCCTTCTGTTTACCTCGTCCATGCTGACCAGATTTCCAAAAGTAATCGAGTTACATTTTAGCATTTGGCACATATCCCTCTAAAGCCTTCCTCTTCATGTACCCGTCCAGATAATATTTAAATATTGTGACTGTTCTCCAGGATTTCCTGTGGCACCTCATTCCGTGCACGCATCACCCTTTGCATGGTCTCGTCTAAATCTTTCCCTTCTCAACTTAAACCTATGCCCTCTAGTTTTGGACTTCCCTACCATTGGCTGTTCACTGTATCCATATTCCTCATGATTTTATAAACTTCTGTCAGGTCACCGTCAGCCTTTGACTCTCTAGGGAAAATAGTCCCATCTTATTTAGCCTTTCCCTATAGCTCAAACAATTCAACCCTCGCAATATGCTAGTAAATCTTTTCTGAACGATTTCAAGTTTCACAAAGTCTTCCCTGTAGCTGGGAGACAGGAATTGAACGCAATGTTGGATAAAGAGGTTCAGAAGATTGTGGGACGTTTGCCTTTATTAGCCGAGGCATTGAGTTTAATTGCAGGAAATGATACTGGAACTTAATATAACACTGTTTTGGCCATATTAAAGGATGGTGTGCAGTTTCGGAATTCATGTAATAAGAGGAATGATTACATTGGAGAGGGCATAGAAGAGATATACCAGGGCATTTCCAGAGATGAAGAGTTTCAGTTTTAAAATGAAATTAGGTAGATTTGGGCTTTCCTTGGAGCAGAGGAGACTGAGCAGGAACATGATTGATGTGTTCAGAATTATGAGCAGCATAGCGAGTGTAGAGAAGTAGAAACCTTTCCCCCTGTTGGCGGTGTCAACGTCTAAGGTGCATAGGTTTCAGGTAAGGACAGGACGATGAAAGGGGAATAAATCATTCAGACAATGGTGGAATTGGAGCTCAGTGCCTGTAAGTCATGTTGAAGCTGGAACCTTCATAACATGTCATAAGAATTGAGACAAACACTTGCAATGCCAAATCAACAACACAATTGATCCATTGTTGGCAATTTGGACTCGAATAGTTGGGTAGCTTTCTTTGATTGGTATATACTAAATGGGCTGAAGGGCCATTTTCTGTGCTGTATAACTCTATGATTCTGTGAAAAGTCTTATGAATAATGCCCTATTCACATAAATCACACATATCTGTTTACCCCGTTCCCATAAAACTTACATGGCATTCCAGTGCTCTTGTCGGACCCGCTCTGTCGAACCTCACAGGATATGTGGCCACATTCCGCACCTGACTCGTTGATGGCTAACTGGCTGCTCAGTGTGTAAGTTCCCTGCTTGTTTCTCACCGATGGGTAAGTCTTAAATCCAGCTGTGATCGACTGCCCACGTTTCTTCCAGGTCACACTGGCGACGCCAGGGTAATAGTCCATCGCCAAGCAACCATAGATAACTGAACTGTCAATGTTGTGTTGCTGACAGGAGGAGACTAAGCCATAAAGTGTCGGAGAAGACAGTGTCGCTAGGAAAGAAAGGTCGATTAAGCAAGTTAGTCTCTGTTAGTTCATAGAATCCGTACAGTGCGTAAGCAGGCCATTCAGCCTAGTCAGTCCACACTGCCACTCCGAAGAGCATCCCATCCAGACCCATTCACCTACCCTGTAACACTGAATTTCCAATGGCTAATCCAGTGAACGTACGCACCCCTGGGCACTATGGGCAATTTGTAATGACCAATCCAGCTAACCTGCACATCTTTGCACTGTGGGAGGATTCTGGAACACCTTGCAGAAACACACACAGACTCGGGGGAAATGTGTAAACTCCACACAGACCGTCGTCGAGGGTGGAAACGAACCGGGTCCCTAGAGTTGTGAGTGAACAGTGTTGACCACTTAGTCACCATGCTGCACAATTAGATACCATTTGTTACTCAAATGTATCCACACCTATAAACTTATTCCAGTGTGTTCCAGCTACAACATTGTTTTATGGAATTTATTGACCATGATATATTAGTTCCCTCTCCAGAAACACGCCTTATATCTTGAGGATTATCTTATAACTAAGGAAAAAGAACACTGATCCCATCAACATTCAATGTTTGAAAATTTCGCCAATACCAAAATTGACACTTTCATTTGGATTACAAATGAATAGCGCAAGAGTTTCACGAAATAACCCCTCCCAAAAAACTATGGTGTTGTAAATGAGAAACAAAACCAGGCATTTCAGGAAAAGCTAAGCAGGTCTGGTCGCATCCATGAAGAGAAATCAAACTTAAATTTTCTGGCCAAGTGACCCTTCCTGGGAACTCTGATTACTCGTGTGTGCGTGCGTGTGTGTGTTTCATTCATTAAGCATGTCTACATTTCTCAATCGTGAAAGTTATTTGATAGATAACTTTCGTTGTCCTTTCTATCACTGCTCTTGTGTAAACTGGTTCAGTGAAATTAACCACTGCCATCTCATTTTACCTCGGATTACCCATGCGCCGAAAGATTTTTTAAGTGACTCAACTTCAAAAGTGATCCTGCAATCCATAATTAAAAGATTACAATGAAACCAATCATAAAAACTTAATGATGTAAGAATATGAAGCGGCTTTTATGATTTTCTGCGTCGTTAGACTCGGAGTGAACCTTTTCCGGCTAATTCCAGTCTAAAAATACAGAAAAGTCATGTTTCTGAAAGGAAATTAGGTCATTGCAAGACGACAAATTTAATTTGTTTCACCGTTTTAAAATTAATCCTATCCCAGAAGCTGCACAGATCAATCTGAGGTAGTGGGACATTGCCAGATATTTAGGCGAGAGTTGCCTGGACAGTAATTAACATTGACTCCTGACTCCACGAAGTGTCTTGGATTGAGGAATGTTTGGGGCAACATTCTTCTTATTGTCCGATGCTGCCATGCTACATGAGCTTGATTAATAATTAAATATTCTTCCAATTCGGGCAGCAGGTGGAAGAGGCAGAGAGTGCAGTGTGGGCACTGTCTCTCCTCATGGTGGGGACCTCAATGTTCATCACCATATGAGCAATGAAGGACAATTAACTGCCGAATTTGAAAAAAAATATTGGGCCATACATTCTTTGATTATATTCTTTCATGGGATGTTGGCTTTGCTGTCTACAGCAGCATTCTTTGCCCCGTTGCTAATTATCCATGGGGATGTATTGGAGAGCTGCTTTCTTCTACCATTAGTGACATTGCAAAGTAGATACAATCACAGCATTGCGAGGATGGGAGTGGCAGAATTATTGCCTCAGCAGCTGTGAAGATGCGGCAATATCATTAAACATGGAGGAGAAGTTGTATTTGGTTGTGCTGTCATTCATCCAGTGCTGCTGTCCTCCTTAGTGGTAGAGGTCGTGACGTCAGAATCTGCTGAGGAAGGAATCTGGCTGAGTTTCTACAGTAGAACTCGTAAAGAGCTAATAACGGTCCCACTCTGCATTCGGAGTGAAGAAATGAATAATGAATGTGATAAATGGGGTGCCAAACAAATGCATTCCCTTGTGCTGAATGGTGCCAAGCTTCCTGACTGCTATTGAAGCTACACTCATCCAGACAATTTGATGGTATTCCATCATACCCTTGTCTTGTGCCTTATAGATGGTGAACAGGCATTTCGGGACAGCAGGTAAGTTATTTGCGGCAAAATGCCTGGTCTCTGACCTGCTCGTGTCACCATAGCATTTGCTTGGTAACTCATGTTCAGTTTTTGTCAATGACAATCCGTAGTATGTTGATGATGTGGGATTCAGCAATGGTAATTACAGTGAGTGTCAAGGGAAATATTTAAAGCCAGTCTTCTTGGAGATGGAATATAACTGGCACAAGTGCGTGGTGAAACTTACTTTCCTCTTGTCAATGCAAATCAGAACATTTTCTCTGGGATGCAGGTCGCTGCAGCAGCGCCAACAGAAGTGGAATACCAGGACTGTGAGGATCTCTGTCGCAGCTGGCCTCATGCCAATTTTCTGGAAGTTGAAACTGATAATGGGCAATTATCTGAATTCTGGAGGTCGCTGTAAATATGCATTCTTCCATTCAGAATCAGAGACTTTGGAGTGCTATGGTTAACTGAGCTGAACATTTACACAGGTATTATTCAAGAAATTAACAAGTGCCCTTTAACTATCAAGTTGACACCCAGTTCAACGCAAAAACTCTAAGTTCTCACTGTGACCACCATTCCCTCACTCTCTGCCGAGAAGTGAACTTCCACTGACTTTGATATTCCCCACCCTGCCACACAACCGCTCACCTGGAACATATGACCCCATCACACGACAATACCACACATCCAAGACAACCAGTATTACAGACGGCTATGTACCGTCGATTCCTTGCACTCGATTCCCCTCCTGCCACTCTGCACATGGTCCAGGGTGTGTTTGGCCTTAACAGGACCTAGCAACATCTTTTTCCCAGTCAAGATCCAATTTCCTCAGAGATGACCTCAAGGCCTTGATCACTTACTTCTCATCTTACCAAATCAACCTGTGAACATTGCATCATACCTCCCTTCTCAAATGTCGTTTTCCACATGCGACTTTGCCAAACTCCGAGCTTTGCATTGTGAAATCATGTCCACCTGCCACTTCACTACTGTGACCATCTACCACCGAAAGAGCCTCGCACTCTGTTGACCTGTCAACTAACCAGCCTGGGACTTGATGCATCGACTGCATTTCCACTCAAACTACCCCTTACCTACCAAGCACCAGGCTGCCAAACTAATTCCTTGTTACCGCAATCATAAACCTTGATGCCAAACTGTCAAGCGATGTGAATGACAGCTTATCCGACACCCACCCAACACGTCAAAGCCTACCAGCTTACTCTCTATCTCCTCACTGGCTTACAACCTTCGAACTTCAAGCCTGGTCCACCATACGTTCACTGTTATAGAGTCATGCAGTACAGAAACCAACTCTTCAGTCCAACTCACCCATGCCGACCAGTATTCACAAATTAAAGTATTTCCATTTGCCTGCATTTGGTGCAGATGGCTCTAAAGCTGTTCACGTACTGGTAGAAATGTCCAGCATCTAACATACCTGCAGCTAACGCTTCCTCTGCCAGTTCATTCCATATACCCACCACCATATGTATGAAAAAGTTACCCTCAGGTCCCATTTAAATCTTTCTCTCTCAACTTAAACCTATAGTTCTACTTTTGAACTTCTCTACAATATGAGAGAAGGAAACACTTTGCCATTACCCTTTTCTATGCCCGTCATGATTTTATAAACCACTGTAAGATCATGACTTAATCTTCTAAGATCAAGGGATTAAAAGAAAAGCCCAGAGTAGACAGTATTTTGTCATAACTCAAACCGTCCAGTCTCAGTGACATCCTGTAAATCATTTCTGGACTCTTTCCAATCCACCAACATTCTTTGTGCATCACGGTGACAAGAACTAAATGCAATGCAGCAAAAGTGGCCTCACAAATGTCAGGTACAGCTGCAAGTTGCCGTCCCAAGTCCTCTTCTGAACGTTCTGACCAATGAACACAAGCGTGCCAAACGCCATCATTACCACTCTGTCTATCTGTGACACTACTTCCAAGGAACCATGTACCTGTAATCCCACGTCCCTTTGTTCGACAACAGCCCCCAGTGCTCGATCATTAACTGTGTAATTCCTGCCCTGGTTTGTCTTATCAAAATAAAACACCTCGCATTCATCTAAGTTAAACTCCATTTGCCACTCCTAAGCCTATTGATCCTGCTAATCAAGATCCCGTTGAACTTTTAGATAACATTATTCACTGTCCACTATGCCATTACTTTTTCTATCATCACAAACTTGCTAACCAGACGTCATTCAATGTTTTCAAGATTTCTCATTGAATATTGCACCCGGTTCACCATTTCCCATATACTCATTGCTTCCTTCATCCTTAAAAAAACAAACTAATTAACTTCTTCTTAAAAACATTTTATGTTTTTGCCTCAACCAACCCTCTGTGACAGAGAATTCCAGAGGTTCACCACGCTCTCATTGAACAGTAAACCATTGAGTTAAATTTACGGTGAGTTTGAAAGATGGTTGAGAACAAGAAGTCTGATGTTTTCATGAATGGTCTAGCATTCTAGAGGGGCCGAGAGGCCTTCGTCAGCTTCTAAAGTGTATCTTCACATCTTCCTTCGGCAGGACGACAAAACAGTTCTGTATTTAAGTTGAAAGGCGCACATGCAAGTAAGTGCTTCACCTGAAAGTTTTCCTCCAAATCTCACTCAATCTTCACTTTCAACTATTTCTCTCTTCCTTTACTGTTTCTGGATCACAACGATTGAACACACTTTCTAATAGCGTTGTGGACGTACTCATGCCACATGAACTGCAGCAACTCAAGTCGTCTGGTACGACTAGCTTCTCAAGGAGATGTAAGAATTCTGAAAGTTCCACGTCTGTCTGGAGATACAAATAACCACTGGAAGAATTGAGACATATTTGAGGTAATTGTTGAGTGTCCACACAGGGATAACGTGCTGAATGGGTTC